AAATCAAAACAACCCTGAGATTTCACCTTACACCCATCAGAATGGCCAAGATGAAAAACTCAAGGGACAACACATGCTGGAGAGGTTGTGGAGAAAGGGGAACCCTTCTCCACTGCTGGTGGGAATGTAAACTTGTACAACCACTCTGGAAATCTATCTGGCACTTTCTCAGACAACTAGGAATAGCGCTTCCTCAAGATCCAGCCATATCACTCCTAGGCATATACCCAAAAGAGGCTCAAGTACACAAAAAGGACATTTGCTCAACCATGTTTGTAGCAGCTTTATTTGTAATAGCCAGAAGCTGGAAACAGCCCAGATGCCCCTCAACTGAAGAATGGATGCAGAAATTGTGGTACATCTATACAATGGAGTATTACTCAGCAATGAAAAATAAGGAAATCGTGAAATTTGCAGGTAAATGGTGGGACCTGGAAAGGATCATCCTGAGTGAGTTGTCCCAGAAGCAAAAAGACATGCATGGTATATACTCACTCATATAAACACACAATATAGAATAAACCCACTAAAATCTGTACATCTAAACAAACTAAGCAAAAGAGAGGACCCTAACTAAAATGTTCAATCCCCATCCTGAAAGGCAAAGAGGATGGACATCAGAAGAAAAAGAAAATAGGAAACAACCTCGGAATCTGCTACAGAGGGCCTCTGAAAACCAGAAGAAAACAGGAAATAACCTTCAAACCTGCCACAGAAGGCCTCTAAAAGCTTCTGCAGTATAGACTGTCAAAGCAGATGCTGAGCCTGATGGCCAACTGATGGGCAGAGTGAATGGAATTTTATGTAAGAAGTGGGAAATAGTAAGAGCTGGAGGGGACGGGAACTCCACAAGGAGAGCAACAGAACAAGATAATTTGAACACAGGGAACTTCCCAGAAAATCATACTCTAACCAAGGACTATTCGTGGAGATGACCTGGAACCCCTGCACAGGTGTAGCCCATGGCAGTTCAGTGTCCAAGTGGGTTACATAGTAATGGGAAGAGGGACTACCTCTGACATAATCTGATTGGCCTGCTCGTTGATCGCTTCCCCCTGAGGGGTGAGCAGCCTTACCAGGCCACAGTAGAGGACAATGCAGCCACTTTTGATGAGAACTGATAGACTAAGATCAGAAAGGAGAGGAGAACCTCCCCTATCAGTGGACTTGGGGAGTGGCATGCATGCAGAAAGGGGAGGGAGGGTGGGATCGGCAGGGGAGGAGAGAGGGGCTTATGGGGGGATACAAAATGAATAAAGTGTAATTAATAAAAAATTAAAAAACAAAAAAAATTAAAAAGCAAACAAACAACAACAACAAAAAAGTGACCATGGAGCAGACCCAGAAGAAAAGTTTTTCTCTGACCTTCTCCTGAACCCATCTCTCATTTCTTATTCTCCATCCAGGTAAACAGCAGAAGCTAGAATCCCTATTCATAGTGGGACTTTTGGACCCATGGGCAGTATAAATAATGACACAGAGGCTTTTTAATATGTTAAAGCTTTGGCCTTTTTGCTAGGGCAGTCTCCCAGCCAACCATCTAGCTTTGTGTAACTTAATCCTGACACTATGTCCTGCCCTGTGAGTAGCTCTACCTCTCTGTTCTGCTCTGGTGATCAATTCATAAATGCTTTTTAAAGTATATATTTATCAGAAAATAAGTTTGTGAGGATTTTTCAAATATCATCAGCAATTTAGCTGCTGTTCATAAGACTGCAAATGGCTTTCATTTTCATACTGAAACATTCTCTTCTTTAATGCTCATTCAAGAAGCTTGATGCCCACATCTGTCTCTATGCTTTTTGGTGGCATGTCTCCATCTCACTGGTAGAAGCTCTATGACTTGATTTGAACAAGGAGATGTCAGTAAAGAGGATGCAAGCAGAAGCATTCTTTCTGACTAATACTATCACTGGGATCTTTCTCTGGACTCTTGTCAGATCCCTTTCATAATTCAGGCAAGACGTGGTGTCATGTAGAATGCAGGTAGAAGATAGGTGTCATGTAGAATGCAGGTAGAAGATATATCCAAGTATGGTGGAACACGTTCTCGAGGGTTAAGAGTGGACAATGGCCAAAGGAACCATTGTGCTGATCTATATCCTAGAAAGGTTTTATATCCCTCCTTGTGGGACATTGCTTTGACCTGGTGATTGACAGGCCTCTTTGGATTGATTCTAACACGAGGAGGAAACATCACATGTCCTTGTCCTCTAATCAGAAAGCCCACTGCTAAGTGGAAAGCACATAAGATTTGGGGCTCCAGAGCAGACTTAGTTATCTCTCAGTGACCTCTGGGCAGCTGAGGGTGACACCCCCTCCCAGGGCTAAATACAGTAATTAGAGCTCTGCTGCTCTAATCCTTGGCTTTACATCCTGCTAATTATGGAAAGAGGGGTCTTGCCCCGTCCTCCATCCTGTTACTATCTGAGCAGCTACCTAACAGTGAGGCTCTTTCTTGCTCTGGATGCTCTGATGTCTCCACAAGGGCAAGCCTTGGCTAGCCTGGGGCAAGAGGTTAAGTAAAACATGAATCAGAGCCAAACTGACCTGACTTCCCCACTTGGGAATTCTCTAGGTCACGATGCAGCAGTCTGCTTCCCAGACATGTGAGGGAGCCTGGAAAGGTCAACTGAGCCATTTGCCTAGCAGACTTATGCCCACAGACATAAGTGAGACTCACTGAAACTGGCCAAGGAAGCTGAGCTGCTCAGACGTTCCAACTCAGAGCAGAGGTTCTAATTGCCTGACAGTAGCATTTGGAGGTTTCTGGCCGCCTTCCGGTATTATGAAAATTCTGGGAGGAGTTAGGGAGAACACAAACAAACACCATAGGTTCACATCAAAGGTGTCTGAGTATACAAAGCGACAGTATTCCTGCTGGACTTACAGGAAATCTCAAATGAGTATAAAAGCGTAACTGTCAACATGCAAGTCAGGTACTTTGGGATAGCCTAGGCAGGCAGGTCATAAAACATATAGTCCTCACCTCTAGGAACCTACACACACAAAATGGGAGTCTCTTGCTATAGCCACAGCTCTGAGACAGTGAGCAGCAGCTGTCTGGATGTGCTACAGAGCAGACCCTTCAGCTGCTTGAGCTGGTTACAAATGCATTAGCTCCTCACCAACATGACCCTGAGAGCAGACAGAATAAAGGAAGCTGCTCTAAGCACCCAATGAACTTGACGTAATGAGGTCTATAAGTTGACCTGAACAGACTAAAATGATATTAAGCTTTCATGGGGGACAAGTGAAAGTATCTAACTGTAACATCCCTGACAGGCAGAGACCCTCTGCCATTTAAAACTCTGCTGCCATGGTGCATTATTCCCAGGCAGCTGAGAGTTTAATAAGACTTTGTGCAGACACCTAACCTGGAAGTTGCTGGCTGCCTGCTGGCAACCCTAAGGCTCTTGATGTGGAAGCTGACAGTCGGAGCTAACATCAGGGCATGGATTCCCTCAGACACAGGACACAGACTGGCACAGTCATGCCTGCTGCCTGCTCACGCGTGCAGTCTCACGACAGTCTGATTTCGGTAAGTCCCTATAGCCAGCATGGCTGTTTAATTCTAGACATACGGGTCTCCTACACATAAAGTGCTGGCTGCCCTCTGCTGTAACATCAAGGTCTTCCCTGAACGAATCCTGCCTGCGTCGTCCAGCCTTTAATTCCCTTTGTAGCCAGCACCTTAGTAAGGCTACTTACTTGCTCCCATTTCTCTCAACTGGTGGACTACAGACCCTTCAGCTGCTCTCTTTCCTCAGAATCAGGCCACACCCTCTCTGCAGTCCTCTAGAGGACCACACAGAAAGCAGGTTGTGATGTGGCCTGGAAGTCACCCTCCCACTAGCAGCTGAAAGCAGGCTCAGCTTCCATTTCTTAGACCAGTACAACCTGAAATTACAGCTAGTCTTTGTCACCTCACTTGTGCCACACAGGATAGTTCAGACACAGTTGTGGGAATGAAACTTGTCATCTGCCTCAGTAGCTATGAGTCAGAAGCCTCTTTGTCCTCTGGTCCTGAAGGGTCCGTCTGTCCGTTCAGACCTTTTATGTGACATGAGGCAGCTGCTCTTCCAGTGTTCTCCCTCTTCAAGGCCTGATTGCAGGTCTCCACTGTTTGAGGCTCTCTCCTAATAAAACTCATTCTGCGTTTAATTTTGTGTCAGCATTTTTCTAGAAATCTACATTGAATTTCCAGCACTCACCTCTGCACTGGTCTGCAGCTGTCTTCTTCAGGTGGCCCACCACTTTATCTTCAGACACAGACATCTACTGAAACTGTTCGTGGAGTCCTTGAGGAATGATGCACACTTTTATTCCTCTATGGCACTGTGCATTTCATACAGAAGAGTTTTAATTTCCCTTGTTGTATTTTGAGTCGTATTTCCCAATCTCACCTATACAGATACTGACTCAGCAGGGAAGTATCCAGGACTCTGATATTCCAAAGTCTCAGAGGCTCTTCTATGTTCCGGAACAATGTTGAATAACAGTAATTGTTTTCAATACAATAAGACAGCTGGATTTTTTTGTCTTTTAAGAATTCTCAAACTTTATTATATTGCTATATTTTTAATATTTCCTTATAGTTTAAAATAGTTCCAGCCAACTACAAAAAACACTTTATACATGTGTTACATTTGAGTTCTCTCTGAGACTTATAACAGAATAGGCAGCCATTTTAATATTCACATTTGAAGAAGGGCCTAAATACTGATTGTATAGCATTTGTTTATGAAATAAATTTCATAAAGAATTCTAAAGCCAAAGCAAACAAAAAGGTCTACAAATACAAATAACAGGAATTTTTAAACCCTAACTCAAATGCCACTTGATAGACTCACAAAGTCATGCACACTCACAAAGTATAAATTTATAACAAATATTAATTTTGTATGCCTATCTCACTAAATATTTTAAGTGTTTGACACAGTAAAGACAAAGATTGCTAGTATTTTTAAATTAACTTTTGTAAATACTTGAGTAACACCTTAAATTTCAGATATTAGAGCAGCTATCTTTTTTAAATTGTTAGTTATGTTCTCAATACATTCTCCGGCTTTTAGTACTGTGCCATCAGGCAGAATACAGTCCTCTTCATGGTAGCTCTGAAATGGACTGCCTGTGGAGGCTCCCAGGCTGCACTGGGACAACTGCAAAAAGAGCCATATAGTTGATCACAATTACAGAAGGTCCTCGACACCGTTCCTCACAATTACAGAATACTGCTTGGTTCCTGAGGAGGTTAGCATGCCTCCAGCACAGCACTGAGTACAGTGTTCTGTGCAGGTGGTCAGGTGATAAGCTCGTGCGTAACATGGCATCTATAAACATATCTGCATAGGGCTAAGTTGTCCCTTAGGTTCTGCCTCTTTCCTCCAATGTAATCCACTTACATTTTAAAGTTTCTACCTTGGGACAGTGTGATCTTCCTCTGAGTTTTCTATATTGGTTTGCTTTTAAAAAATATTACATGGACTACATATTAAAATAATTTCAGTCATGTACTCTGTGGCCATTCTTTCATAAGCATTTACATTATCCACAAAAACGTCCTTGCTGTGGCTTAGATGGGAAGGACAGTAGTACTGTTCACACACACACACACATACACTAACATAACCTCAGTTTCAAGTTCACTATAGGTAGACCAGCCTCTTGTGCAATTAAAAGACAAGAATATGCTTGTAGTTCACAATATAATATGTACCTTTTAGTCCAAATAATTATGCAGCAAAACTCTTTATTTGCATTTGGATTATCCATTCAAAAATGATGTGGATTTATAAAAATCTGATTAACTTCTCCATTGTTGCCAAGTCAAACAAGGACTTTAAAGAGTGCTCATATTGGCTAAAGAAGAGCATACTCGGGAGGGGAGAGGACTCATGCCTAGAAATCTTTGTGCTCATCTGCCAGAGAACGCAGGAAAGAGATTTTGATTGTGTGAGGGTGTGTGTGCCCTTTCCATCTTCCTCACTGGCGCTTAGGAATCACCAGAAATCTGATGGGCAGCAGTGAAGAAAACAGCAAGTGTATATCTCTGAAAGGGACTCACATAGCATCTGATCAGAGTCTATACAGTCCAGATTTGGAATTATGTGCTGACTCTCTTCAGTATATTTATCATATCAGAGAGCACCTTCTAAAAAAAAGCAAAACCAAAACAAAACAAAAACCAACTACACAAAGCATACGTCTGGTTTTAAGTGGAAGCTACATTAATTCTTTGCAGAAACAATGAAAAAAGGAGGAATAAATTAAAATAAACCCCTCCTCAGATGTAGCCCATGGCAGCTCAGTCTCCAAGTGGGTTCCCTAGTAAGGGGACCAGGAACTGTCTCTGACATGAACTCAGTGGCTGGCTCTTTGATCACCTCCTCCTGATGGGGGAAGCAGCCTTCCACAGAGGAAGACAATACAGCCAGTCCTGATGAGACCTGATAGGCTAGGGTCAGATGGAAGGGGAGGAGGACTTCCCCTATCAGTGGACTGGGGAGGGGCATGGGAGGAGAAGAAGGAGGGATGGTGGAGTTGAGAGGGAATGAGGGAGGGGGCTACAGATGAGATACAAAGTGAATAAACTGTAATTAATATAAAAAATTAAAATTAAAAAAGAAAATAAGCCCAGGGATATGTGATTATTTCCTTACTTTTAAGGTGGAAATTGTTACAACTTTAATGGTTGGTTTCATGGCCGCACTCTTTGTTAACAGTGAGCTAGGCCCTAAGCACCCTGAGCCAGTGAGGGGCTACTTGTGAGCAGCCTGTAGGAGGCACTCACCTGGCAACACATTAAAATATATAACCTTCACAGTTCCTAAATGCGTTTTGAAAGCACAGAACAATACGAAAATCTAAGACAAAAAGAAGGCCTATCTGGGGCTATATTAAAACTGTGTATCTTATCATAAGAAATAAAAATCAAAAGTGATTTCTATTCCATCAAGTTACTAGTTCTAATGACAAAATGGAAGCCAATTCTATGCTTACAAAAAATCCAGAATGTCACTATAAAACCCAGCCAGGCTCTATTTTTGAAAAGACAAATTTCTAGGGATGAAAAAAAAAAGAACAGGAAAACAAAACACAAAACAAAATGAAATTAAAAAAACACACAAAATGTATTGCATAAAACCATGCAGTGTTCAACTAAGCACACAACTCTTAGAAAGAAATACTTTGTATATTAATTATACATATGGAAGACCCATGTCAGCAATCTATACACCTTGTTCCACAAATACAGCCTATATGTGGAAGAAGCCATCTTTAGCAAAGGAGCTGTTGTGGAGAAATGGCATGTATAAGCGAATTCATAACCCCGCAGATCCAGGTGGAGCTATGCTGCGGCCATGACCAAGAGAACTTCCTGTGTTTCCAACTCAGCAGGGACTGACATTCATTTCCTCTAACACATTAATCTCTGGGACGATAAATTCTGTATGCTCTCCTTAATCTTTAACTCAGTAAGAAAGTGTTAAAGATTCATCTTTGGCTGGGCATGGTGCTGAACGTCCGGCTTCAGCCCTGGCAGTTATACCTGAGGCAGGTGGACTGTTTGAGCCCAGACTCCACTACACACAGAACCTTCACCACCAAGGGAAACCCTATCTCTTGACAGACAGAAGAAAAAGATGGGAGATCCACACTTCATACGTGCTAAGGATCCAAGTGAAAGTGGCAGTCTGACAACATGTATAAACTATCTGCCCATTTCTTTTTTTTAATTTCTTTTTAAGATTTATTTATTTTATGTATATGAGTGTTCTATCTGCATTTACACCTGCCAGAAGAGGAAATCAGTTTACATTATAGATGGTTGTGAGCCACCATGTGGTTGCTGGAAATTGAACTCATGACCTTTGGAAGAGCAGACAGTGCTCTTAACCACTGAGCCATCTCTCCAGCCCCTATCTGCCCATTTCTATATCCAACTGTTACTGAGGAAAGACTGGCAGGATGAAGCGGCCCTAAGCGAGAATGTGGGAAACAAGACCAACTCATTGTCCCATTGTCACCTCTGACATATATCCCAGTTTGTCTTATCTAATTCATTTTTTTTCAAGATTTATTTATCATTTGAACCATATTCTGCCTGCATGTATGCCTGCGCACCAGGAGAGTGCACCAGATCTCACTATGAGCCACCACATGGTTGCTTGGAACTGAACTCAGGACCTTTGGAAGAACAGCCAAAGTGTTCCTAACCTCTGAGCCATCTTTCCACCCCTCTTATCTAATTCTTAAAACAGTTCTCTAAAGCAGGAAATGAGTAACTGCCAAGTGGCACAAATCCTCAGTAGCAGAACTGTTATTTACTTTGTTTGTATTAATAATAAATAATGATAAAGCAATAAAAGTTCAAATGCTTACATTGAGGATTCAGTCTGGGTGTGCTCTCTGGCCTCTGGACACACTATGTAACTGAATGAATTAGTGAGACCTTATGTAGCCTCTTGCTGCCATTTGTTTCCTAACAACCTAGGGAACAACTCTACCACAGGGTACAGTGTCTGGTGTGCCCTGAGGCTGATTTCTCTTGCACTGATTGACCCCGTACTGCCTTTCATAAGTGGCCTGAGCTTTCTCCCACAAACTCTCACTTCATTTATGCAGATACTGGACAATAAGAACATGACTGTCTGAATAGAACATAGTTAAAGACAGGAGGAAGTCGGAGCTAACCCTAGATGCGGTGATAAAACACATGCTGGGAGGAGCTCTGCTCTGTTGACACTAAGCGTTTGCCTTATGGTAGCCAAGACGTGCACATGTCTCTGCACAGATGGGGCAGAGAAGGTTCCCACCAAGCTGCTTTCCTTTTCCAGGGACCTGCTGCTAAGGATCGAAAGCCTGGGTGGGAGTAGTCTCTTGCTGTTAATCCTAAACTGTTAACCTCACTGAATTAAGAAATCTCCATGGAATTAATGATATTTAGAAAACGGGCATGCCAGTTGAGGGTTTTCTAGAGGCAGTTAAGATCATGAGGACTGAGAGCTAACCAACAGATGAGTTCACTGACAGAGTCAACATAGAGCTGAGCTAATCAAGTCATAATCCAAAGTTATGGATTACTAGGAAATAGTGACAGGCTGGGGGTGGGGCCTAGCTGCAGGATGTAAGTCCCTGGGAGCTTGTCCATAGGTTCTATCTTGCCTGGCCTCTTCCTGTATTCTCTTTCCCCTGCTTCCTGTCTCACCAGGATATGGAGTGCTCTGCACCATGACCTCCCTGCTGTGATGAGCTGACATCTTTTTTAATCTTTTCTATTAGGTGTTTTGTCCCAGTGGCCAAAACAAGATCTCTCTTCCTCAGCTACAGGAAGTCTCTCCATCTTCCTTCTCCCAACCCCAAAGATCTAAAATTAAAAGACTACCTTTGCTTAAAACACATTTCTCTCAGGAATAAATGCATTCAGATTTCTCAAGAGCTCCTAGCTTATTAACATTGTGACAATCAATGACTCAAATTTCAGATGTGGAGAAAAGTACTTTGTATCCGCTCAGTTACAGTACTTGGAGCTGCCCAATAGCAACTCTCCACACTAACCTGTTCTCCCCCTGCTTCCTCCGCTCTTGCTGGGGATTCTTGTACTTGCTGCAGCATTTTCTCCAGTTCTTTCAGTAAAGCTTCTGTCTCAGAGACAACTAAATAAAATCATGAATATAGTAAAAGCTGCATCTTTAATTCCATCTAATTCAAAATTTTAACCACCCAGAAAGAATTTCTCTAAGTACTACAGGATTAAAAATAAAAAAATAAACTTTAATATTTAAAAAATTATCTTTAGTTAGCATAAAATATAAAAGATTTCCTTATAGCTTTTCCTTATATACTTAGCTTTTGTTATCACATAATTTTTATGTAGGATCTCTACTTGTTGCAAAATTCTTTTATGAATTTTCAGGTGAAGTTTTTATAATTTTTGAAAGGAATAGCTAATTTTCTTGATATGTATATAATATAAAATATCTTTGAACTATAAAAAGCTCATTAGAAGTCATTTTTTTCTTAATTGGGGCCCCAGGGCACCAAACTCCATTATGTTTATAAAGTAAGCATCACAACCAAGGAGCTATGGGCAGTGGACAGTGGAGGAGGTCAGTTTTCTTACAGGGTGTGGCCTCTGGTAGGTCCACTGTGCTCCTGTAAGTGGCCCCACACCCAGGAGCATTTGAACTGGACTACGGGATTATTTTTAAAAAGACACAAAATTAGGGAAGTTGGGAGTGGATTTGGGAGGAGTTAGGGGAGTGTGTGGGTGAAGATGATTCAAACACTTTGTAGCAATGTATGACATTAAAAACTGCAGCTAAAAGGGAAAAGCCACAAAACTAAGTGGCTGGCCCAAACGTAGACTAACCCTTTCTTTTACTTCTTTTTTTCCATTTTCAAGTCTGGGATCCTGAGTGGGAGGGTGCCTCTGCAGGTGTACATACACCCCTGTGAGTGCTGATGGAGGCCGGAGGTTGGTGCTAGGGATCATCTCCCATTGCTCTATTACCTTATTATTGAGAAAGGGTCCTTCAAGTACAACCCGGAGCTCCCTGATATGGCTAGTCCTACCAGCCAGCTTGGGGTCCAGTGAGATTTGTTATGTGTAGCAGAAGTTCTGGTTTCTTAAAAAAAAAACTCAGTTATGTTATGTAAATATGTTGTTGTTCTACTCCCAAGTGTGGAAAACGGGACTGCTTTAGTTTATCCACAGGTGATAATTGCCTCATGCAGGGCATGGTCTTTGCCAGCACCAGGTAGTGGAATTCTGAGGACTCTGAGAGGGTATAAATACAAGGGCCCAGTGAGAGAAGGAAAGTTTCAAGGAAACAGAGGAGAGAGAAGGCTGCTTGTTCATCCTGAATCGTTAGGGTGAGGGTTAGGGTTTGCTGTTGCTGAACTGCTAGATATCCTAGCAACTGAGATTGGTATTTTCCCAAAGAACCCGACCACCCTAACTAGCCAGAATTAAGTCTAAAAAGGTCTATACCTCCCTTCCCTTGTAACCTTCTTTCTCTTCTACCTAGAGTTGGGGGGTTGGAAAGGAGGTAGAGGCTTTAGGAACCCCAAATAAAGGAGAATTTAAAAACAGCACCTACAATTATGGTTTCTGGAGATCCTGACTTTGGTCCTCACACTTGCATAGCTAGCAATTTAACTACTAAGGCACTTCCAAATACCCGTAAGTTCACTCATTCCTAATCCAAATGGCAACATGTTAACTGCCCAGCATGACTTAAAAAAGAAAATACCATGCTGATAAATGCTGATAAATACCATGCTGATAAATGCTGATAAATGCCTTTTTGTATTTCTATGAAAAGGTAGAAAAGGTGTTTACTACTTCACTGAATATGTTAAAATAAAATGACTTCACCACCACCTAAGAAAGACAGCCTACAATAGTGATAGAGCTGAATTCTGATTAACAATATGTTTGAATCCTCCACCTAAACAAAACAGCATTTTTACTTGACACAAAGTTTTGCTGAAGCAAACCCCAAAGAAACCAGCACACATGGAGCTTGTTGCGTGGCACCAGAGGCAGAGAGGACATCTGCAGCCTGTCCAAAGATAGCACAACCTGGAGACAATGCCATGCCCTCACCTTCACTCTGACCCCTGCACTCTGACACACCACTTCTATTCTCTGCCGTTTTGGCAGGTCACAAAAGTCACACCACTCAGCACAGCTGGACATTCAAGGAACATCCAATTTCAGTTGATTTTAAAATTTATTCATTTATATGTGTGTGGGGGCGGAAGTGTCACAGCATGCATGTAGAGGTCAGAGGACAGCTTTAGGAGTTACTTCTCTCCTTCCATCTTGTTGAAGCAGGGTCTCCATTGTTGTTTCTGCACACAGCACACTGTAGGCCAGCTTCATTCTCTTGTGTCTCCTCCCACCTCAGCAGGAGTGCTGTGATTACTGGTGTGTGCCCCTCATGCTGCTATTACTTGGGTTCTGGGAACTCAGCTCATGGTATCAGGCTTGAGCCGCAGGCGCTTCTTAAACACGGAGCCATCTCCACCGCTCCAATTTTGATAGATTTCTTTTTAGTAACCTAACCTGTTAATTCACAGGCAACTATCTGTGCTTATCCTCAGGCTGACTCTCTAGTTCTCTTCACAATATTTTTTTCCTACTTTGCATTCTGAGTCTATGGAAACTGACATTGAAATTTAATGTCCTGTTGAAAAGATGGATTTTAAGCTATGCTGTAAAGGGAAATGGCAAACAAACATCTCTATGTTTCTAATGCTAGGCTAAAGTACAACCCAGTTATGATGAGGTATATCATTGCCAAATTCACTGTTATCTCTGTTTGCAAGCAATCTTGAAGAGTGTCTGCACTGCCTTTTGATCAAAGAGTAGACAGAGTAATAGAGGACTTCATCAACTGTCCAAGATTCTTAACAACTTGACTGATGTTGATTTCTGCTTTCAGAGCAACAGGAGGCATGCTTTTCTATAAGTATTCCTATACTGTAACTGAAATTCAAAACTAATTCTCAAGAAATGGCAGTTACTGTAATCTACAGACTCAGTTATCAGAATTGGTCAATGATATCCTCCAAAGCTGGAGACAAAATGAACGCATTTGCTGACTATCGGACCACTCATCTTCTATCTGATGATTATCCTTAGTTTCCTGGCTTGTTTTGATTCACTGTTGAGAGTATAAAGGGGAAGGGAAAGAGGGAGGGAGAGAAAGAAAGGAAGAGAAATGGGAGAAATAGAGGGGGAAAAAAGAGAGAGAGATCCCATCCTAAAACAGTAACTGTGAGGTAGGAAAATAAGAAACTGTATCATCTGTATGCAGGAAAACTGAGGTCAAGAACTGGGCACAAGTCACTGTCTGGACATAGAGGTAGGATTGACCCACCCTTACTGGAAGCCACTGCAACAGTGGCCTTGTGCTTTGTCCTTTGCAAGATTACTTGTCTTCTTGTTGCTCAACAGCCAAAGTTCTAAAGAGAAGCCACACCAAAATGACTAAATGGGCAAAGGCTTGTTGTCTCTGAAGAAAATATAAGGGTTGTATGTCCATGATTAAGGTGTTAGCTGTTAAATAGTCTCTCTATATTTATGAAACCTAGAAGGCCTGGTCCCTTCAGATTACAGCGCACTATGAAATGATCCTCCTTCTCCTTTAGTTCCAGAAGTTAAACTACACAAAGCATATCCCAATTTGACTCCAAAATAGAAGTTAGCCATCACAGACATTTTCCTGTACTTTCCCATTCACAGTACAAGTACTGCTCTGACTTGTCCTGTCGCCGTCCCCGCTGTCGGCCTTCATCCTCTTTTTTTGGCTGCCCAGTGATGGTGCACATGAAGCTGAGGACCTTGTGGTGGGGTCTGCACAGGTCAGGGGGCATCTTTACACTCTGACCACTGACGCTAGTTAGCCGAAATGCAGGAAAGGGCTCCTGTTCAGCAAAGAGGATCAAAGAAAGATAGAAAACAAAAACAACAAAGGAAGAGTAAAGGGAAGTGCCAAATGAACCCATCTTAGAAAGAGAAGGGGCTAGCTTAGGAGCCTTTGGGTATGCTAGCTACCTCTCCTCTGGGAACTCCATTTTCGGATACCCAGACTTTTGCCTTTACTGGAACATATGAATTGATCACGAAAGGCAAAGGAAGAAATAGCCAAGAAAAAAAAAATTCCTGAGTGGAAAGCAATAGCAAGTCACCTTTGAACAGAGATAGGGTCAACAGGAT